TTTCAGTACTATTTATGCTAGTCCGGAATCACTATTCCCTGTAGCTATATCATTGGACCGGCAAACGCCCTGCAATGATAGTAAGAACCACATTTTTTTTCTTACTCTCTTTTTTTCAATTCAGTATAGAACAGTTACAGACCAACCATACCGAAAACATGTCCCCGTCACAATCACACAAAAGTGTATCGTGAGGGACGTAGTGACACGATAACACCTAAGTATGTAAACCAACAGCAACCCGACACATATCCCAGTGCAGCACAGACCAGCCTCCCTGCAACTTCATGTCCCTTTCCTGCACTAGAATAATTACTTCGCTAGAGTGTTGCAACGTCTCTAGTATTTTCTAGATGCACAGACACGGCTACCTCTGACTGTCGCACGTCCTCGTGCGGTTGACAGTGAACAGCATACGGTCTATCAGTTATCACCACCTGCTAACAGATATTAACTCTTGTTAAATATTACAACGGTCGACCATCCCAGACTTCATTTAAGTCATGAACGCGCCGATATGGCTACCTCCAGGCAAACGCACTTCAGCCTTCCGTTCTTCTGCGTCCGTGCCACATTCGCGCCAGCGAGCCGTCGCGCCGTACTAGCGCTAGCAAATCGTCGTACTGCTTTGCAAAATTAAAGAAATCGAGATAAATGTATTGCGAACCATGGAATTCCGAGCTTCCAAAATTCATCACATATTCTCTTAAGAAACGGCACTGTATGACATTTGAAAACATTGCAAAAAACGGTAACTATGTGTGGAGACGGATACCATCATATATTTCAAAGGGAAGGAGGCAACTGCGCAAAATCTACGAAAGCCGACTAAGCCTCAGACGTACATTTACAGCACCAAAGGACCATGTGTTCGGCGGCCGCTTGAATTGCCTTACCGTAAGATCTGCCGATAAGTTACAGACTGTAGCGGTGTAGGCTCAATTTTACTAGCGCTCGGCCGTACCTGACCATGTTCGATTAGCCGTCACACATCTTCCTCATTGATCATTGTTGTAGAGACTTCTACGAATCTCTTGACATCAAACCCCAATCTTGTCGATCACACAGTATTCGGAGCAAACTGCAATACTGACCAACACATTAGAACACAAAAATGTCACTTATCATTTTCAATTCCTAGCATGTTAAAGTTAATCTTTTATTTTGGTACATCGCTTAAACGTTTTGAATTTCAAAATATAACAGATGATAATCATGTTTAGTTGAACTTGAACAAGTTAATTTTTCATTCAATGCAAACGATGACTCGTCTAGAAAGCCTCAGATATTTCTTTCATTTGTTAACATATTTAGGTACGTCAGAAATAATGAAAATACTTGAGGGTACTTTTAATACAAATCGAACAAAAGGATTTATCTTTTGGCTTAAATAATTTCACTTTATCTTTTCTCTACACTTTAATGATACGACAATATCGTAAGTAGGACAGCAAATTTTATTACGGTATTTAACATGAAAAGAGATCCATCAATGCGAAATGCATTATAGCCTTTACAAATGTAATAATTCTCATACTATTCGAAGATTATATGTGGGCAATAAGGGGGACTTTATCCCACTACTGATGTAGAAGTTTAGTGGGTATAGTACAGAGACTTATTTTGTAGTTAGGAATAATAATTAATTCGTTTACACGAATTAATTATACAACGAGTCGAGGATAAACTAGTAACGGAATACGACAAGCGCACCGTTCCACGTCAGGGCCAAGACTGTCTTAACGGCGGCCGCTCAGTCAGTTTTATACGAGCAGGACGGGCGGCAACGCAGGTGCAACGCCGCAGGTGTGCGGTAAACGTGTCGTTTACAAGAATTCTGTCTAGCTAGACCGACGTCACCGCATCTACAACGGTGCAGGTGCCGTCATATACAACAAATCCTTGCAATAGAACACCGAATCCTACCAATGATAATTCGCGAGGCTATTGAAATTAAAAATATCCTAATTTTAATAGGAAAGATGGTCGAGTGCTACTATCTGCTAAGGACTCCATGATTAATAAAATTAAATTCAAACTACTACTGCATTTTAACTATTTTATTTTAACTATGACATCAGATCGTCAAACACCTCAGTTCTGCCACCCCTCCCGTGACCATGGGTGCTGTAAATTGCCGAAACCATCAGGAATTTAAAAGGTTAAAATTAAACGCGATAAAATCCTTAAAATTACTTTTATTCCTTATAAATTTTATACACAGTGAACGTGAGGAACACTACACTCATGAAAAATGTTCGGACTGTTGTGACGGTGAAAGAAAATCCAACACATCATATCGTCCCGTCGTAAGAGGCGACATAGGAAAAAAATAGTAGATGGTATGATCTGCATCATCTTCTTGACAACAGATCAAAATAATAATAGCTGCGGTTGCCAACACGCCACTCTAGCAAATATCCAGCTACTTGACAATTTATGGGGGAGGCCTATGTTCATTTCAGTGGACTTTTGATAGCCTGACGATAATGAGTTCTACTCATCTTTGCAAGACTTAATATTTACGGTAGAGTGAAAACATAAATTATCATACCCGAAAACACGAATGAAATAAAAACTGCATATATTGCCCCATGAAAAGTAAAAAAGCAGCTTACATACATGCTACTACTGGGCACAGGCTGTAGAGTTTTTTGCCAAAAAAGAGTTCGCTGCACTGATTCCAACGCGGGATGAACGTAATGTAAATGATTCAATTATTTACATCGTATGTTCAGTAGCATTGTATTATTTCATTTTATCAATGTCTTGCCATTTTAATGTATTTAGAAGTAAGTAGGTGGCGCTAATATTACATGAAATAATGAAAGCCAAAACTATACCATCTAGTAATATCAGCCATAGAAACGAACATTTAATTATTATATCAATAAGGGATAAAATGATGTCAATTCTTTTAAAAATTCTGTTTCTGTTAAAAATAAGCTGCTCGTATCAGCGCCGCTAGCGGTGAAAAACGATAACGATATCGTCATATGACCATATTATGAAATAGCAACGTTGTGTTTAGTTACTAATAACTTCAAAAGATTTCTATTCATTGATTTGGTCAAGCTATATCATGATACTGTCATCAAATAGTGTTAAATAAACATTCATTTCAGTCATTTTTTCAGTGTTTTCACGAAATGATAGACTACTTTATGATATATGATCAATTCTACGATCTGGCCACGACTTACATAAAAATCTCTTTAATAAAACTATGATGATAATGAAAATTTTGCAACAATTGCAGACAGAGCAGTCTTTATCATTTTACATATATATATTAGTAATTGAAATAAATACCTTATCAATTTTCACATTTTTGATAGACGTCACTATTATCTATTGAAATTATTACACTTTTAAAATAAAATAACAAAAATACTAAAAACTGAACGTTACAATTTTTTAATAATTTTAAAAATCTAATAATATAATCATATAAATGTAAGTTATTTATATTATTTCATTTATTAGTAACTGAAGGCAAAATATACAACTTTTTCCAATTGATGATATATGGCGCTGTTTTGAATACGAAATCGGTGTGGTTTCAAATTATTTTACTAAGATTATAACTATATTTTAAACTTTATTTACAAATATGGTAATATAGTATTTATTTGAAAAACACCCGTCATTCCGCCTATAACTAAGATACAACAGAAAATTAACATCTAAAGGAAATTAATATACTTAACCATCCTTTTCTGAAGTTCCGTAATCGGATAAAAAGTAGCCTATAAGTTGCCCCAGGTTATTGACTACCTACATACAAAATTTCATGTAAATCGGTTCAGTAGTTTTTGCGCAAATCCGGAATACACAGACAGACAGACAGACAGAAAGACAGACAGACAGACAAAAATTCTAAAAACCACCAATTTGGCTTCAGAACCCTTTATTAATTCCCCTGGACTTGTTTTTTCAAGAATATATTAGAATTACAGACACGACTTTTCTACAGATTTATTATATGTATAGAAGATATAGTTGTAGCACGAATGGGTCGGCTCGACCGGGGAAGGACCACGCTCTCACAGAATACCAGCGTGAAATGGCAGTTTGATACTGCTGTGTTTCGTGTGGTGAGTGTAGAGATCCGGAGACCCTTTTTACTGGAAAAGAGGCATTCCATCTTAGTCCTCACGGGTGACAACGCATCTGCATTTTGATTCGCAAAAGAGGATAGATGTGGATGTCTATGGGCCGCAGCAACCACTTACCATCAGGTGGACTGTGTGCTCGTTTGTCACCCTTATCCTATAAAAAAAATTACCATAGTAAGTTTTGGCTCTTTGCTACAACCCTATCCAGGGTGTGTAGGCAAATTTTTCATATAGCATTTGTCATCTTTGGTAATCTTGGAAAGGAGTATCCAGTTCAGCAGTGAGCCTAAAACGCTATAGAAAAAAAGTATATGGTAATCTGTACACATATAAATAAAATTAAAGTGACTCTGTAATATAGTAATAAATGCTAATCAAGACATAAATGACAATTTGCAAACTTTTTGTCTGTCTGTCTCTCAGTCCGGGTTAATCTTCGGAATAATCGTGATGAAACTTCATGAACAAATAGAGAGCAATTCCAGGAGCTATGTTTTATCCGAAAAACTCGGAGTATCTTTTCTGCCGACTTCCAAAAAGGAGACGGTACTCAATTCGACTGTATGTTTTTTTTTTATGTGTGTTACCTCATATCTTTTTACTGGGTGAATTGATTTCGATGATTCTTTTTTTTATTTGAAAGCTGGTACTTCTCGTGTGGCCCCATATGAATTTGATCAAGGTCAGACCAATAGTTTTTGAGTTTTTTTTTAATAACTTATTTGAAATCGACAAATTGATAAAATAAATGTTAATTGTTGATTATTTCAAAAATCTAAATAACGACACCCAGGCGAAGCCTGGACGATCACTAGTGTGAAATATAAATAAAGTGTGAGTACAGTGGACCACACAGACGCTTGTAACATGTTTTTTTTTCAGTTAATTTCAGGTCTCATGATCGTTCTGGGGATATCGGTCTACTCGCACTACCACAGCTTTTCGTTCTTTTACGAGAGCGCGAAGAGCGGAAAATTCTTCACGCCATCTATCCTCTGCGTACTCTTGGGCTTGGTGCTTTTAGTGGTGACGCTTTTTGGATTATTCGGCAGCTTGAAACAGAGCACTTGCATGGTGAATTTGGTAAGATAAATGAATTTAACAAAATTTTTGAAGCCTTAGAAGTTAGTATAGCGTTTTGCAAAAAAAAAAAAATAGTAGAGAAGACTAGCTGCGTAGGCAGCACAAGCTCGTGACTTTTGCATTGTATTAACAGTTTTTTTTATAGAATAGAGTGACAAACGAGCACACAGTCCACCTGATTGTAAATGGATGCTGTGGCGCATACATATCTACATTTTTATCCTCAAGAATCAAAATGCAGATGCGTTGTCACCACTGAGGACTAAGATGGAATGAATCGTTTCCAGTAAAAGGGGTCTCCGGTTCTCTACACTCACCATACGAAACACAGCAGCGTTAAGCTGCCATTTTACGCTGGTTTTCTGTGAGAGCGTTGTTCCTTCCCCGGTCAAGCCGAACCATTCGTGCTATAACCATAATATAGCTGCATCGTGGCTCTACCACGTATAAAATGGATATAAAACTAATGTGCGCGCTCTACTGTGTCCCGGTCTGAAGAGTATTTAGAGTCAGTATAGTTACAGGCTGTGTATTAAACTGTAAGATGTAAATATCGCGTTGAACTATACAATATTTATAGTTTTGTATAAATATATTTATATACATATAGTTTTCTTTTAAAAACTGTATCCGATTCATCTTTGGCCTGCGCAAATATGATCACGTTTCAGAATTTCGCTCTCAGTTAAAGTGGTTGACTACACGCCAGCGCAGAGATTTCCGAATCCTGTCCACTGTTTTCAGTTCTTAATGATCCCTCCTCACCCCTTTATAAGAAATGTTTCGATTCCTTAGTGACATTCATTCTCTCAATCTCCGTTCGTCATAGTTTATTCCTGTCCACTCCTCTGCACCATTCTGGGTCTATGTCAAATTCTTTCACAGTTACTTCCATTACCCTCTGGAACAAATTGCCTGTTGACCTGCGAACAATACCTGCCAAAAATGTTTTTAAAAGAAAACTATATGAGCATATCCGTAGCCTATAAAGTTGAGTCAACTTATTTTATATGTTTATAGTTATTTAGATATACATTTATTGAGGTATATATGTATAAATGTGTGTATTTATTTATATATGTATATGAATTATATATATTTTATATACATGTGTATATTTTATGTATGTGTTGCATGTATATATTTGAACTGAATTATATCGTGACAACTTAACTGCCCAAACTCACTCTCTGTTCTACCCAAGGTTAGCTGGTAGAGAATGCCATATATCATTAAGCTCGCCTTTTGTACAATTATTTAGTGCAATAAAGAATAAATGAATAAATATTTATCAATTAATATTTACCGATACGTGGTAGAGCCATGCTGCAGCTATATTAATAGTATAGTTGTAGCACAAATGGGTCAGCTCGACCGGGGAAGGACCACGCTCTCAAAGGGTACGAGCGTAAAATAGCAGCTTAATGCTGCTGTGTTTTGTATAGTGAGTGTAGAGAACCGGAGACCCTTTTTACTGGAAAAGAGGCATTCAATCTTAGTCCTCACGGCTGACAACGCATCTGCATTTTAATTCGCAAACGAAGATAGATGTAGATGTCTATGGGCTGCAGCAACCACTTACCATCAGGTGGACTGTGTGCTCGTTTGTTATCCTTATTCTATAAAAAAAAAAGTTTTTGAATTTTTCAGTATGCCTTCATTTTAGCGTTGATGTTAATCGTCAAACTTGTGTTGGTCGTTCTTACCTTCACGTTGGAGCCAGACGTAATCACGAGCTACCTAAACATACCGGTTTGGGGTTACACATACGATCCCGAAATACAGGATGAGATTGACCGCTTACAAGTAACGGTAAGTTAATCACAATAATATTTCATTATCTATACAATAAAATTGTTGTGTCTGTCTGTAATGGTGAAATAACTGCCTTTCATTGCGCTCAGGGAGTTATTTGCATGCAAATAAGACATGAATAACCATTTCTTTGTCTATCTTTCCGCGATAATTGTGATGAAACTTTATGAACGGATAGAGATCAATGCCAGCACGGCTAGCATGGGCTGGGGACAAAAAAATTATCCCCCGATTATATCCACTGACAAGAGATAAAATTATTTTGTCCTTATGCCAAAGCACGGCAACGGGGAAAAGTATATCCGCGTTTGACATAACGAGTAGACATATATCCCGCGTCCGTAGCGTGGAGCCAAATGAAAGATAAAAAGTATGCTTTTTTGACATTTGAAAGGGACTGTTTTATTCTAGTTCATTGGACGTGGGTTTAAGTTTATAACCATACAAAAAATCTATCAATTCTAAGGCTGAGATCTATAAACTGCATTTTGACTTTGTTCAGACTTTACTTACGAAAAACTTAGCTGAGTATACGCTTAGCGTAACCTTTGGTTCTGAATTTATAGTTTTTTTTTATCTCTTTTTTATACTAAGATTAATCTAAGCTTATGCTAAGGCCCAGACAGTCAAAAAAATTATGGACGCTTTATTCCACGCATTAAGTTCTTGATTTTATTGTATAAAATAAAATAAATATATTTAAAAATCGAAAACAGTCGTATACAGATATATAGAAAACGGGTGTATGAGAAGAGTGCAAAATCAGAAAAAATAAAATAAAAAATAAGGTTTTAAGAATTCGAAATAAGATTGAAATTACGCTAATAGAAATTAGATTAATGATATTTAAAACTAGAAGACGGCCTAAAACTACCTATTTATTGTTATAAATAGTTACAGTAACATAAAAACAACAATTTAAAATTAAATCGGTTTTGGATATCCCGAGTTTTACGTAAGTCGTCGATTTCGTTGACTAGGCTTTGCTAAGCGCGCACTCAGCACGAGTTCAAAGTTAGCGCTATAAATTTCGAAATTGTCTTAGCTAGAAAGTAAAGTCTGAGCAAAGTCAAAGTACCGTCTATATATCTCTGCCTAAGTCTATCTCCCATTTTATCTACTGTGGATATTATATCCACCGGTGTGCCCATGCTCGAAGGGTGAATAAAGCTAAGAGAGGGGATAAACATTTTCTCCTTTCCCCGGATGTAAAATTGTCTACTGCTAGCCCTGCTGGAGTGATACGGCTATATTTTATCCGAGAATCTTAGCGATGTTTTTGTGAAATCGAAAACTGTATAAAATTAATGGTCGTTGATGAGTATTTAAGATCTGAATGATAGCATAAATGACATTAATAGACATAACCCAGGCGAAGCCTAGGTGACTCGCTAGTAAATAATAAAACAGTATGTAGGTACATAGATGCTATAATATAATGACAATGTAAGAAAATCGATCGAAGAACTCGAATTAAAAGATCACTAAAAACTCACGAAACTCACTATCACTACAGAAGCAGACTTCACATTTCATTTGAAAAGTCTATGATAATATTTTATTATGTATATTTGATAATTTAAATGAATATTTTATTTAAAAGCAAAGTAGGTTTTTTCTTCTATAGGATATGGTGACAAACGAGCACACAGTCGACCTGATGGTAAGTGATTACTGTGACCCATCTATCCACATCTATCTATACAAATAAATAAAATTGAAGTGTCTGTTTGTAATGTTAAAATAACAGCTTTTTACTCAATGCATATGAATGTATATACGGTACTTTAACAACAACAATTTTTAAAAATTTTGTCTGTCTGTATACTTCGGCTACATTTAATTTAGAAAAAAAAATTAGGGTTAGGTTTGTTAGTTATAAGTACTGTATTTACATTCATATGCATTTTACTTCAATTTTATTTATTTGTATAGATATACATAGCTGCAGCATGGCTCTACCACGTAAAAAATGGTTATGTTATTTTATGTAATGATTCTCTTACGCTATATCTATGTTTCACCACCACACGACAAAATATATACGACTTAATTATTGTAAATCTTTTAAAAAATATAATTGTCTTGAATAAATAAAATAATATTAAGAATATTTCGATTTTAAATGTAGCTAAATAATACTGCATATGTTCTAGCTCAACTGTTGCGGAAGCAATTCTTACTTGGACTACGTCGGTATGGATTTCAATAGTAATCAATCTACGGTTGTAGTATCAAATCTGGTCGACGGTGATAACATTATGTTGGTCCTACCGAAGTCTTGCTGCGTTACTAGTGCAGACATGTTCTGCACGAGAATGAGAATCACCAGTTGTAAAGACGCATTAGCTGATCTGCTGATACAGAATTCTAGCGTTTTGGGAGTTCTTGGTGTTTCTGTTATGTTTATACAGGTAAGTGTTGCAATTGTGTTTTCAAAGCTCCTATCAAGATATCGGCAGTGATGAAAGCTGATTAAGAGAATTGCAAAAAAATCTAGGTTTTTGTAACGAGGGCAGGGTATCCCTGGCCGTTCTTAGTTCACCTGTAAACATAGACAGAACAGAAGATTCATAGCGGACAGTGGTATTTTCATCTTTATTAGAATATTTATTTCTCGTTAATATTTTTTGAGAAAAGTGTGGTGTGCAAGATGACGTTGTGACAAGGATTAAGAAAGAAATGCTTCGGTGGATTGGTCATGTAGAAAGAATGACGAGGAAAGAGTGACAAAGCAAATTTATGTTGCAGAAGTGAACGGCAGGGTCGGGAAGGGACGCCCTAGACGAAGGTTTATCGACCAGATCGGCGATACATTAAGAATGGGCCAGATTAGGAGTACCCTTAACCGACGAGCGTGTATGCGTAGATATATGGATGTAAAGGAGGCGATAGAGGTGTGTCAGGATCGCGCCAAATGGAAGTCCGTAGTCTCTGCCTACCCCTCTGGGTGACAGGCGTGAGTGTTTGTGTGTAATATTTTTTTATGGAATATGGGTGAGTAACTAGCACGCAGTCCACCTGATGGTAAGTGGATGCTGTGGCTCATAGACATCTACATTTATCCTCGATTAAGTATTAAAATGCAGATACGTTGTCACCCGCTAAGATGGAATGCCTTGTTTCCAGTAAAATGGGTCTCACGTTCTTTTCCACACGAAACAGCAGCATGCTGTTTTACAGCTTCATCAAAATAGGCTCGTAAGCGAGGACCTACGAGTTATTAGGTGCAACAATTCGCGTCGCCATCTGCAGGCCCGAGGCATACCCCGGCCCCTGTTTTCAGATTGAGGCTCCTCTAGCTATGGGGAAGGGGGGGAGGGGCTCATATGGGTAGATGGACCCATGCGTGCTACAACCATAGTAAAGCTGCAGCGTGGGCGTGACACGTATAAAATTATTAAATATAGGTACATTGAAATCTCGACGGTGCAAGTGCATGGCAACACCAGTGATGTTTGACAATGTTATAGTCAATCCGGGTTAAGATAGTAGTAGTTGGGTAATTTAGGTAAGTTTCACAAAATTATTTCTTGTTTAAAAAAATTTGCATGCACTGCCGCAGCTGCACTGTATTTTGAAGAACTTAATATTTCTTAAGCATTTATTACTCACGAGGAAAACGTTTTTTCACTGCCGAGCGCATTAAAATTAATAAATTCAGTTACTTTGTTGACGTCAGGGAGCTAGCTAACTAGGGTTACTCACTTATATAATTTAAGGCCACCTCACACTATAACGGCTTGAGGCTTAATAATTTTAAATATTTCAGTTACTAGGCATCATATTCGCATTACTCTTGGCCCGCTGTATTCGCAAATTGAAGAGTGAGAAAGTTCTCATGACATGGAAGATCAAGGAGCAGATGATTCTAGCTCGGCAAGCGAGCGAAAAGAAAGAAGAGAGTGTGTACATAGACCACCCTGATTCCAGCACAGCTTAAAAAATGTCTATAATTTAGTAAATAAAAGGATATCAAAATTCTAATTATATACGACAAAAAAATCACTAAACAAATAATATTGTTAATTACGAGTAGAATAATTTATATTCCTGTCAAAATAACAACTAACTGACATAATAAATTCAAACATTTTGGTGAAACGTATACAAATTTCAGTTACTGTATAATTTACTACATTCCATATATTCCTTTTAATTAAAAAAAAAAACAATTTAATAAAAAGCAATGTAATTAAAAATATTCTGTAATTGTTTTTGTATAAAATGTACTAATGTAGGTAGCTCCTTTTAAGATTTGGAGTGTTTACTAACCTTCAGACTGTGCTACCCGATAATGTTTAGAATTAAAAGTATCTACATAATAGCTACTTAATAAGAATAGTTTTAAGAGTAAAATAACTGCAAAAATGAAACAAAGTACTATTTATTTCAATGGTTGATTAAATAATCAACATTTATTATATGTACATTCTTGATATCGTAAACATTTCTATAATAAACTTACATCTTTGGGTTTCATGTTTGAATGAAATAAAATTTACAAATAATTTATCATACTTTTATTTCTTTAGCATTACTTTTATATTTAATTGTGTGATCCCAAAATTGCTTAGCCCTTTTTGTTATCTCATCCCCTATATGTTCATAGCTTCCATTAGCTAGATATGGAGGAGTAAATTCCCTGTATGCTATGCATACTCTTCGAGATGTAATGTCTTCACGAAGTACACAATGCTCCCAATGATACCTTGCTTCACCGTAAAGAACAATTATGGATCTTCTGAAAACAAAAACCAAGGAACTCTTTATGGATGTTTTGGCTAATTTTATGTCTTATGTGAGAGGAGACCTGTTCTTAGCAGGGGACCTACATTGGCTGTCTAACTGACCAATCATATATATTACAGGGACTCTCTTCCTGTTTGGATTTATTTTAATCACATCCAATAGTATGTGCGATGATACTTTGTCAATGAATACAAAGTTATTTATGCTATGCGTAGTACATGCTTACACACTACAGTACATTACATGATTTTTTTTACAATTATTTTATATAAACTGTTTTTCTCTTATTCATAGGCTATGATTGTCACCAAATCATAACAATGTAGAAAGCAATATTGATAATGTTATTATAAACAATTAACGCAATCCTCCTTGTAAAAGGTCAAATGTCAATTTATGAGTTTACAAGTGGCTTGCTGTGAAAGCTAACCACGAGAAGCCGTGGCTCCATCGCTGCAACAACACTCCACTGCAGCCACAGTGGCGGGCTGGAGCGCCATTCGCTGTGGTGTATTTGCTACGATCGGACTGCAGTCAACTGTGACAGTCACAATACTCTTATTATATTCAGCAGTATTATCCCATATTATGTTTTTAATCCTAACGCTTTTGTTATGACGGTGTGAAGTATCTGTATTTAGCGCCATTTTTAATGCGGTACACGTGGCCTATTGTAAAAATTTGGAATTGACCTTGCTGCAAATTGCGGTCAGTGATAGGCCGAACTTCACTAACATAACGTGTCCAATTTAATCTTACGATGGTAACATTATTTAAATGAACACGCATAGTAACAGGGGTGTCATGTCACCCCATGATAATAAAATGAATAAAAAACTTTTGTTTAATGAAAAATTAAACTTTTTATTATTGAAACAAACTTAAACAACACTCTTCTTTAGATCAATCAGTAATTAAATGAAATTGGATTTAAAAAAAATGTTTTATGGCAACTTAAACACAATTGAGACAAATTTCCACACAATGTTCAGGGCACGCAGGTCTTCTGCATTTTGAACAAAAAATCTTCACTTTTTTGTCATTCTTTCGAGGGCACAATGCACATCGAGCTTGTTTTTGCAATTTGGCGGGGGGTTCACTTGCTGGAACTTCTTCGGGGACATTTAGAATGGCCCTTATATTTCTCGATAGTGGTCGAGGTAAATTTGACTCCAGGCGTCGTCTCGTGTGCGGCTCGGTTAGCTGCAATGCTAGTTTTTTTAGGAAATTACTTCTAAACTTATTAGCTGGTGTGTTCGGATGCTTAGCTACTAGATAGAGAATCATAAAGTTGATCCCTCTTTGATCTAACATACCAAAAAAAAACCTTAGAGTCCAGCGTCGAGTACCCCTCGCAGTCGTGTAATTGTGCATCATTTTGTCAAAGGTATCGACACCTCCCTTTGTCGCATTGTAGTCATCAATTATAACTGGCTTATACGTTGTGGGATTGATCTCTTCCTTATTATGCATAGTAGATAGCAATATCACCGATTACCTTTGGAGTAAAAGAGACTAACGTTTTCTCACAATCAAATGCAAACTGACAGGACAAAGCAGACTTTGATTTATTCGGTAAGAAAGCAGGTGGTACCTCACGTTTATTTTTACGTAAAGTTCCAACACAAGTCAGTTGATATTCCTTCAGTAACTGGTCTACAAGAGGCACCGAGGTGACCAATTATGAAAGGTTATGTTTCGTCCAGAACCTTTGATGCTCTCAGCTACCTTTGTGACATAGTCTGCTGCCGTCTTCGCCTCGGTTTCTTTTCCTATGTAAGGAATTGCGTCAAACATATAATATGTTTTAGCATCACATATGGCCACAATTTTCATGCCATATTTGTCTGGTTTCGAAGATATATAAACACGAAAGGGGCATTTTCTTCGAAAACCAAACAGTTGCTCATCAATCGTAACATAACAAGTGGTAAAAATCTTCCATGCTTCTCGAATAGGTGCAAATTTATCCTCTTTATCAAATCATCAAATCTTAGGCAAAGTAGCAGAAAATGAAATCGACTCTCGGACATTATTGACTTGTACACAGGGGTACTTGTGAGCACCCACATTTCAGTTGCACTTTTTTTTACTATCTTTGTTTACCGCAGCATAAAATAGTAGCCCTATGAGTGTCTCAATCTCTGTTTTGTCTGTTTTATGAGTAAAACATTGGTCTTTATATTTGGGGGCATGGATGCCAATTTCATGGTTTGTGTATGTAAGTACTATGTCGAGAGGTTTAGACAACAAAATCATAAAAGGATCTTTTTCTGTTTCAATATTAGAATGGACTTGCGAAGATCTTTGGATGTTTACTATGTTACGTTGAGGTGTTCTGCTTCATGATGGGGCAGAAGCAGACCAATTATGTCCATTCTTACCTCTCAACACTCCCTCGAAGCTGTGACAAAGGCACATCATCTTCATCTGAGCCAGAAATAATGTTGTCTTGTTCGGAATCTTCATTACATGTTACACACGTTATCTTCATTTTCAGAAGCCTCCTCCGCCTCTAATGGCTCTGTTTCACTATTATCATCCTCAGCCATATTATTTAAGTACCGCTCAAGCTCATCATCATTAAGAAACGCCATAATCAACTAAAAATAACATATAAAAAAAATACAGTAACAAAAGAAAACAACTACGTAAATAGTAACAGGGGTGACGCAACACCCCACACATACCTGCAGAACGAAATTGACGTGTTGCCGCTCCCACTACACAACGCCTACTGATGACTCACATTAATACAAAAAAATACACAAAATGCTAGAGCGAGACAGCAAATAATTTTCAATATTGGCGCGTGGGATGATGAGGCACCCCTGTTACCATCTTAGGGTTAAATTTAGTAAGGGTATTGATTTTTATTACTGGGAATAAAATAAATTTAACATTAATATAACAAAAAATTTGCAGAAAAAATCTACCAACATGCATTGAGGCAACAATCTGGTGGTCTGGCAAAGTGTCTGTCTACTTTTCAGATCTAAAAACCGTTTAAGAAATTAGCACCCTGTGACTTTACTTTTAGCAGAAAAAACATTGATGATAATTGTAAATTTCAATAAATAAAATAAATAATAAATATAAAAAATAATTAAATCATCAAAACATCAATTTCACTACAATTATTTACATTTTTTGGTGACCAATTAATAACCTATGACAGACCAAAGATTGGACATTAACAGAATTATTGTGACATAACCACAATACCAAGGGCCATACAGTTATAAAAAAATCTTTTAGGTTAGTATGAACAGATGAATGTAGTAGACCATTAAAATACAAGCCTTAATAATTTAGTTAGTACCTTATCAATGGAATCCTTATAATAGCATCTGTTTCCTCAGCAGGTTTACTGGCTTCTAACATAGTCTTTTCTTTATTTTTAAATTCTAAATCAATACCTCCATCAGGCATAACAAGTGGGTAATATTCATCTGCACAACACAGATTATATTTTTTGGTATCTCCTTTGAATAGGGTCATTGTGAGAACTGAATCTGACAAACAATTAACAGTGATAACTCTCTCACCCCATATCCAACAGTCATCTATATGAGGATCTATTGACGCACCTTTGCTAGGGTCATATTCTAAAGAGCATTGCTCAATTACCTGAAATCCTTTTAACAAGTCTATTGAGTCAAATTTATCTTGTAAATACTTAGAAAAATGAGGAAATCCATCAAAGTTGCCGGGAATAATCTTTTTCTTTTTAAAATTAGTTTTCGGGCCATAGTTCTGCTTACGCCTGCCGCTCTGCGATATATCCCACGGTACTTCGTCTATGCATTTAATAAGTTCGTTTTCTTCATCTTCTGTTATGAAGTCTACTTGGATGTATACTCCAGGGTAATTAATAGGTTCACCGATGTGATTAGGATGCTGTTTATATACATCTATTTCCCATCCAGGCCACGCTTTGTTACAGAATGGACAATATACATAGCCTTTTTCCTTGTCAAGATTTAATGAAAGTTTAAAGTTTTCAGCACCATAAAGCGTCTCACAGATCAAACATGTTCTGCAACCTTTGCAGCCGCAAGGGCGTGGTTTCATTTTATTATAATATTTTTATTTCTTATTTTATTAAATATTACATTACATTACAAAATTACAATTTACTATGCAATGAGTCTTTGACATTGACACTTGACAGATTGACAGTTTTGATGGCACAGATTCTACATATTTATTTATAATCTGTGAGCACAGTTACAACGATTGCAGTTTTGGCGGGAACTTGACCAGCGGCGGATTTCTGCTCTTGTGTTATATAATGTTAAATATCTTGTTTATATAGTGGTTTGAAGTGGATTTTGATATGTAAAAGTGGTGCGATTTTGTGTATTAAATGTTAGCGGATGTGAATTTTCAGTGGAAACGGTGAAACAAGTGCTGCGATGGTGATGTGAATCTCAAAATAAGGTGTCTGTCTGCTTAGGCACCTTGAGATACTATCACCAACTGTCTGCTGGCTCAAGTTGTCCTCAAAATCTCCCAAAAACTGCGCAATGTGACGCCTCAACATATTGTGAAGCGGTATACTTTAAGGGATTATTACATGGCTTAAAGAACAAGCATCTAAGCCAAAAATCTTAAAAACAACTATTGCTGTTTCTAATTTAAAGTTCAAATAAGGCAAAAAGAGACAAATCTATTGAAAAATGTTACGTGCAAATTTATGCATGAAAATGGTCTTTATACTATACCCAATATGAGAGCACATACACTTGTCTCTTCCAATTCACTATAAAAATGACATCCCTATAACAGTAGTATTATAATATGTGACCTTACTTTACAAGACATGAAGTTTCTAATCTATAGTGATTTCGTTCGCAATGTTAGCAATAATCGACATCGATATACTCCTTTTTGTTTAGTAATTTATTTTTATTATTTTATTATATTATGTCTAAAATATAAAGAAAATGGGACTAGACTTATTATTATTTGAATGATTAAGTAAGTTGTTTTCTAAATCAAGTGAAGAGTATTATATTACATTGCAAATATTATTTTTGCAAACTTTAAAAACTAATAGTTAGGAGGTATGAACACTAAGTCTTTACACACACGGTAGATAAGCGAGTTAAATAGTAATCCCAATTTTATATGTAACGATCCGCCTGGACTTCGCACGACTATTTTCTAGATATCGACAACAGCGCTACTTACTGGGTCCAATTGTGAGTGTGAGTGTTTATCAAAATCGATCCAGCCGTTGTTAAGTGATCATTTTTCATATAAGCGGCAATTAAATCTAGTCCAGTTCAATCCCCAGAAGACACAAGTTTGCGCGTTTACCGCTAAAAAGAACCCCTTTGTCGTATCTCCTCAGTTTCAAGGCACTCCCCTTGCTGCCTCAGCCAGTATCGGAATCCTTGGCGTCGACATATCGAATAGCGTGCAGTTTCGTGGTCACTTGGAAGGGAAGGCCAAATTGGCCTCTAAAAAGCTTGGCGTGCTCAGCAGAGCGAGACAGTATTTCATGCCGGCACATCGCTTGCAACTTTACAAAGCGCAAGTTCGGCCCCACATGGAATACTGTTCTCATCTCTGGGCCGGGGCACCCCAGTGCCAGCTCCTTCCACTTGACCGCATCCAGCGCAGAGCGATTCGAATCGTCGACGACCGAGTTCTTTCCGATCGGCTCGATACACTGGCACTGCGTAGAGATGTTGCATCTCTTTGCGTATTTTATCGCATCTATCACGGGGAGTGCTCTGAGGAATTGTTCGGACTAATTCCAGCCGCTCAATTTCACCATCGCACGTCGCGACAAAACTCGCGTTACCATCCATACCATCTGGATGATTGGCGGTCCACCACTGTGCGATTTAGAAGAAGTTTTCTCCCTCGCACAACTTCTTTGTGGAATCAATTACCACCAGCGAATTTTCCGAACCGATACGACTTAGGAACCTTCAAGAAAAGAGCTTACACCTTTCTAAAGGCCGGCAACGCATCTGCAATTCCCCTGGTGTTGCGGTTGTTCATGGGCGGCGGTAGTCACTTAACATCTGGTGAGCCGCATGCTCGTTTGCCCCCTATTCTATAAAAAAAAAAAAAAATAATTTTAATTTTCATAGATTTAACACTTGCTTAGCGGAAAACCATTGACCATATTCAAAAAAGCTTTTCTGCTTGGATGAAAATATTTCGAAATCATGAAGTCAAATTAGCGGCGGCATAAAAGAATCCACTACCTCCTACCATATATTATCACTTAGAAGCTCTAAGACCCCATACCATTCATCCATCCAGCCCATCATAAAAGACGAAAAAAGATAATAAAACAGCAGATAGGCAACAGTATCTTCCTGATAACAACCTAAAATAATAAAAATTGCGTTTGCCAATACCCACTTGCTAAGAGGGAACTATGGCAAATATTCCCTCTACCTTCAGCTGTGTACTTTAAAAGGCTGTAGTGAATGAATTATGGATAATATCTTGAGGGAGCAGAGAGAAAAACGGGTAATACGTTCTTAATCGATTTATTGGTAGTTGTGATCTAGCGACAAAAGAGAAGGCAGATAGCGGTCATGCTGCTGTTATAGTACTATCGTAGCAGTGCCTTCTGTGTACGTTCCGTGAAGCAAAACCAGTGTCAATCAAACAAACACAGTTATTATTCCCTGTGAAACCCACATTAAGTCTAAGGATAATTTAGTGGAAATATATCAGCTGAATTTAAGTAGATTTGTACGTGGTAGAGCCATGCTGCAGCTGTGTTAGTAGTATAGTTGTAGTACGAATGGGTCGGCTCAACCGGAGAAGGACAACGTCTCACAGAATACCAGCTTAAAATAGCAGCTAAGGGCTGTGTTTCGTATGGTGAGTGTAGAGAATCGAAAACCCATTTTACCGGAAATGAGGTATTACATCTTAGTTCTCATGGGTGACAACACATCTGCATTTTGATTCGTAGTTGAGGATAGATGTAGATTTCTATAGGCCACAGAAACTACTTAACATCAGGTGGACTGTGTGCCCGTTTATTACCCGTATCCTATATAAAAACACATTTCATAGATTTTTTTCACGATATATTTTAAATTATACAACGATAGTATGTAATTAAGCATTATTAGACTACGTTTTTTTTTTGTAAGATGTCAGATCAAGTTTCCATGAAATTGCATTGATATAAATAAATATTACGAACCGGACTAATAAAAATCCCTAATTTTACCATAGACTTCGAATATACTAGCGTATAGACTATAGACGTTCATAGTGTGCAAGGGAGAAGAAAATTTCTTATGGCACAAATGTAATATAGAAAAGGATACCAAATCTCATGACTCTGCAACCGATTTTGAATGACAGATACAAATCGGCATGCAAGAAATAAGCTTGTAGATATTTTGTACTTTTTTAGATTATAATAGTGTTAATTTGTGTAATTTATAGTGGTGTCAATAATAAAAATAATCCTAATGGTTGCACATTCCACAGTTATTTTCACAAGACGTCGTAACTGTCTATCTTTGGTTAAAATTTATGTTATATACTGTTTAAAATATACAATATTTTCAATTATTTTATTAATTTTGATATTTTGCAAAGATAAAAGTCACATTGTTGTAATTTGTATTTGATTTTTATGAATTCATTTTTAAACAACATATTTTACATGTATTCTAGGGATTGACTCAACTATATCAAAGTAATGTCGATATTTATCTTGAATGTGTATAAAGAATCGATAGACTTTTTACAAAACAAAAAGAAGAATGAAATTAAATGCTTGATTTGCGTTCTAAATACGTAATTTTATTTTGCCATTTGTCAAACAGATTCTTTCTGAATCCTTTAGTTAGAAAAAATTGTTGCCATAAATTAAGCGTATGAAGAACTCTACAATTTTTAGTAAACATTTTGTTGAAAAATATATAAGAAAAATCAGAATGAAAACAACTTTATTAAAAGGAGCCATTCCCACATTATTTGTACCAAGTAAGTATAATATGGTTACAGTAAGACTTCAAAAATTTTACTTCAAAAGTTTTTTTAGTTTAGGTAATAATAGAGATAGATTTTTATACATTAGAAAACTGCAGTATATTAAAAATAAAAAATCTTGATATTAGCCTATTTAAGCCATAATGAACCTAACTATCAACTATCTATTTACTAACCAAAACCTTACATCACCACCAATATTCCTAGCATCACGCTATTTTCCCCAAGGAGTTGTGCAAAGCTTCGGATTATACTCCTAAGTCACAGTGATGAAAATTTTATCGTAGTTAAGTATAGATACTCAATAATGCTCCTGAAGCGCCGCTAGAGGTCATGAGGCACGCGGTTCAGTGTACCAGGATAGTATGAATTCCATAGTATTTGATACGTGCAACGCTCGATGCCCGATGACAGTGTGCCAAGGGTTTGATAGCGTGGTTCATCACCTACTGCGTTAGTCGTAGAGAAAAGGAACTCGTAGTTAAGTAACAGTTGCGTGGATCAATAGAACTGCAAGATTAAGGTGCACTTGCAGGAGTCGGCCCATGGGTGAGTGACCGTTTTCTTAACATACCGAAATTGAGAGAATAGGGAGTGCATCTATATCCCCGAACAATTGGTGCATTTTAATATCTCCTGCGTATTTGGCTTGTCTCTGTTAAGATCATTATGTTTTTAAAATTCATGCAGCTAAAATGATAATAAATTTGTTATAACTTTATATTTTTCAGGGACAGATGAAAGAAAGAGTAGCCTCATAGTATGTCCATCGTGACATAACCCCTCCACCTTTGAAATCACAAGAAAGAAGTGATCAATTTACACCAAGAAAATATTTTTTTTATTAAAAATCGAGAAAAAACAAAAGCTGAAAGATAAACAAAAGAAAATACGTCGAAGAAGAAATTCATACAAGACAAGGATTGAAAGATCACTAAAGCGATATCACTATGGCATGTAGCAATGAATTGATATAGAATTTAATTAACAGGGTTAACGATAAAAAATGTGGTTAAATAGTTTATGCATCCAAATATAACCCCGTGTAGGGGCGGGTAAGAATACTCACTACCCCATATCTTCCC